AAATTATAGAGACAAGAATTATGAACGCCATGATGTCGCGGGAAAAACACAAAATTTTTAATTCAGAATTGAAATATTTCAAGAATTATTCATAAAATATATGAAAATAAGTTAAGGATTTGTTAAATAATTGTTTTTGTACATAATTTTGGAAATAAATACACATAATGAATTAAAAAAAAAGCTACCACAGCGTGAGCTTGAATGAACTTGACATGATAAATGTATTATGTATCATTTATCATGTCCAGTTCACACGATATAAGGGATTGGCTGAGGGCTCTCGACCAATCAGAACTGAGATACTTAGTAAAATGTATAATAATGGTCTTTGCATGCGTTGTATCCTTTAAGGCGCAACCAATAATTGAGGGAATGACACATGGTCTAAAATGGGTAAACGTGGCCTAACCTATTTTGAGCCCGAAATATAAAATGTAAAAGCATCAGAAAACTTTATCGGTCTAAAATAAGACCTTAGTTATGATTATAATTTAAACGGAAGTTCCAAAGTCCAATTGGTATTAGGGGCCGGATATATTTTGATTACAGCGAGACATTGTTATGGAGAATTCAGTTTGAACATCCACAAATGTGACTTCATGCACGATTTTGTTTTGGGTGTGGTACAAAATGATTCGGTTTCCAGAACTCTTAAATATTGCTTAAAGTTAATGAAAAATATATTAAACTTGCATTGAGAAAAATCTTGAGGTCGAAATCTAGGTAATAATTTTATCCTCGTAACTGAAAAATCATTTTATCTTTGACGAACGATCTTATGTATATATAAGAAAAATATTTGCAAAAGAGAATATATTTAAATATAAAAATATATGGGTTATGTGTATCAATTAATAAATATTTTAGAACAATTTCTAACAAATATATAACAATAAGAATTATTTKTATGGCCAATTTATTTTTCCTCGGTTTTTTTTCTCGGTTTTACATAACTCACCTCAAACATGCAACCTGCTCGGCATATTCGTAGTTTCACTTCTAGATTCTTATTTCTGTACATTTTTGTCCTCAATAGCAGACAAATAAACTTGGTTTTCTTGAGTTAAGATTTTGTTTTTTTCTCGAGGAAGACGTACGTTGAAAAATAAGCTTATTTGAATAATTACATATAAACAAAGTAATTCCTTACCGAAAAAAAAAAACAAATAAAGGCTTTTACCCCTAAAAAAACAGAATTCCAGCCTCCATAGTATTTATTTTATAAAATATGCTATTAATTGGTTACTTGAATTATTTTTTACCTTGTTCTTCGTATTCGTGTTCAGAGTCAGAGCTCCACTCCATCGAATGATGGTCGTCATCATCTATGTCTTCAGAGCTCAATATTCTTGCTAATAATTCTCTCTGTGATAATCTGTCGAATGGATCACAAGCATTGGTCTGTACTAAGGCCATTTTGCTGGTTTTTTTAGCTCAAAGAGCTTTGTATTTCGTCGATAAAGTCACCCTTCTTCTACACAATTCACGACCTTTTGTTTTCTGCTCGCGATCCTCACTAGACTCTGTCATTCAAAGGATCCCGCTGGTTGGCAGTGGGCTCGAGTGACGTCAGCACCTATTATAACCATGAGTATAACCATGCAAAAAGAAAATACAGTCGACTCTCTTTGAACGACCACTCTCGTAAGCGACCATCACCCGTATGCGATCAACTTTCGAAATTCCCGTTTTGTTCCCAATATTAAACTATGTAAAAAAAACTCTCTCATAAGCGACCATCTCCCGTAAGCGACCACTTTCTCCTGACCCCAGGGTGGTCGCTTACGGGAGAGTCGACCGTAGCGTGACTTATATCATGAAAAATTTGAGGTAGCCTTCGTGCAGCCGAACTTTAACTCTCTGTGTCGCGAGAAAAGTCTGGCTATACGCAGGCTAAATTCGAGGTCGTGCAAAGCTTTTATTGCAAGATTGCAAGAGTATCGGCGATGGTGGTTGAATTTTTGTGTTGTTTTTATTATTATGATAGCATTATATGYATTTTCACATACATCGCGATAGAATTTGCACCAACAAAACAAAAGAAAACTAATAAAATAAACAGGAAAAAAAATATCGTGGTATTGTGTACGTGACAAAAAGCACTTCTTGATTGATGTCATTGGTGCAGTCCTGTTTTACGAGTTTTAAAGTACCAGCCAATAGGAATGGAGTATAATATCACATGACCTTACAAACTAGTTTGTTTTGTTTTGGTTCTTGTGTCAAGTTCGACGTTTTCAAGCCACATTTACTCGCGATACTATTGTACACCCAACAGTATCATAAATGATCGCTATATTTATTAGTGAAATAGCTATAATTTTATAGGTAATTCTCTTCTGAACTGACGCACAACCAGATATTTAGTGAACTCAAGGTAAGAAAGAGTGAATATCCTTTTTGTCCGAAGAACCTTCCACATTTCTCAAGTTCACAGTTTTTTTTAAAAATTGAAATTAAGTACATTCAAATGTATTCTTTTATACAGTCACTGAAAAGATTTGTACAACAGCCATCGTGTCTCTGTGATTAAAGATATTGTTCAAGACAAAACAGTTAAAATGGGTAAGTTACAGACGTACGACTTTGCATAGCTTCTGAATATAAAATCTTAATAGTAATTCATATTTCGAGCTTGGAGATTTATTCAGCAAAGTTCATCGCATATTGCTATATTTCTGTGTTTTGAAATACTTGGTTTTTTCCCAGTGGTTTGATTTTGAGCAGATTATTAGAGCACTTCCATAACGTAAAATCTTGTTTTCTCGAACCTGCACAACAGGTTTTTCCCTTCTTTTCCAAATAAGGGGGATCACAAGTCAGTACTGTTAATTTTGCATGAAAGCCGCTCATGCAAGTGGATGGCTCATTCCCTTGAGTACGACTTCTTCATTGACTAATAATGCTTTATAAAATAAATGAATTCCTATTCCAAACGACTCATAGGCTGAAATGTGAAAAAAATTATTACATTATCAATTGTTTGTACTTTGACTCAATTCTTTTATCAAAATGTGAAAAAATTATTACAATATCTAGAGTGACTACAGTAAATAGTACAAAATAGTGCWAGTAAAACAACAGAAAACAATGGAATTTGCGTGAAATTGTGCTATTTAGTATTACTAAAGTTTCAAGGATTTACTGTGGTCACTCCATTSTTTGTACTTTAACCCAATTTTTTTATTCTTAAAATATTCATTTTATACAGGTTTTTTGATACATGGTTTTTTCAAATCCTTCTCGCCATGGAAAGACGCATTCAAAGAAGACTGGACATGGGATACTGATAACAGGTCACCAGACGTATTTTTATGTTTAGATAACAAGATCGCATGTTTTCATATTGATCCAGTGGATATGAGCACAGGGACGGCCGCTGTCCGTGGAAATAAGGCTTTCACACATGGCCAACATTACTGGGAAGTAAAACTGTCTGATGTCTATGGGACATCAGTAATGGTTGGAGTAGGAACAAAAGATGCTGTGCTACATACRAATAATTATGAATATGTGAACCTTATTGGCAAAGATAGCCAAAGTTGGGGCTTGTCCCACAAGGGAGAGATATGGCACAATGGAAAAAAAAGAAAATTCTGCGAGCCATTTTTCGATTCCACTGTGATTGGTATTTTGCTAGATATGGATCAAGGAACTTTGTCGTATTTTAAAAATAATGAACTCTTAGGAGTAGCATTTTCTGGGCTGTGTGAAAGTACTTCGGAGCTGTATCCGATTGTTTCATCTACTGCAACTGAATCAGAAGTGGAGATTGGGGATCGTAGCTGTAAATATATGTCTCTTCAAGATCAGTGCTGGAAAACAATCTTAAAACATGTTTCTGAAGACAAGACTGAATCATTGCCTTTACCTCCAACACTGTGTAAATATCTCAAAGCAAAGACATAAATCATTTAATATAATATGTAAATAATGTTGCTATAGTTATAAGAATTATATCACATGTATATTGTTGATGTAGAGGAAAAACTTATGTATATTATCAGAATAATAAGGTTTATGAGTATACAAATAAATATAAGGTTGATATTTGGAAAACATTGAAGTTTAACTCCCCCCTGGGCTTTACATCTCAAGTGAGTAGAATTTTCCCTTCCATCTCTCCCTAGCCTCCTTTGCAGCCGCTGTGAGGCGCTTCTGGTTCCCGTCACTCCCCCACTAGCACCGCTGCTGTGAGTTAGCTGTGCCCTGACTTAGATCAGCCCAGAGGTTGTTTCAGGGTTCTATCTGTGAGTTAGCCATGCCCTGACTTAGATCAGCCCAGAGGTTGTTTCAGGGT